GCCGCAGCCGCGTTAGCCTGCGCCTGCTGTGCTGCCGCCTGCGGGATAAAAACCATAGACAATTCATTTTTGTAAAGACTAACTAGTAATCAGTAATGCCATATCGAAAGATATATTATGAAAATGTCGCAAGTAATAGAAACATTTAGTGTACTTAATGAGTTTATTCAGACTTGATTTACGTTATGACATATCCGGACGAGGTTAGAAGTTTTTTAAATCTTCAGTAGACCAAGGAAATCTTTATATCTTCGAATACGTAAATCCTGGCATCCTTTACACCCTGTTTATGTAAACATTTGCCAATTAAAATCTACAATACTTCATTTAAGTAAATATACGAATTCAAAAAAAAATGAACGAAGTTTAACAATTCTCTCTAATTTAGGCAACAGTAATAAATACATTCGATCGGAGTGGTTTCAACCAGTTACTAAAGTGAGGTCGGCTATGGGCAATTTGCCCTAGTAGTTAGCTTTCAATATGGTATATTCTAGGTGTATGTTACCTGTGCCTTCCTAGCCGCGGCCTGCGTGGCCTCGAAGTCAATGCGCACGCCGTGCAGCTGCTCCTGCAGCGTGTGCAGCCTCTGCCGCGCCGCGCCCACCATGGCGGTCTGCGCGCCCAGCTCGCCCGCCGCCTGCGACGCCGCCTCGTTCGCGTTTTCCGACGTCGCCTGCGCCGCGTTCAGCGCCGCTTGGATCACGTTCACCTAAACGAACATCATAGTAGTTAATCTCCACGTATCATACTAACATGATAAATGTGAAAGTTTAGATGGATGTTTGTTAGAGTTTGCAGCCTAAACGGCTGAACGGATTTCGATGACATTTGGTAAAGATGTAGAGGATAGCCTGGAAGAACACAGGTTACTTACTTTTGTATTTTTTTAATCCCACGCGGACGGAGTCGCGGGCGAAAGCTGATACTCTATAAGACACTATACGTAACAATCGATTTTGCTTTATTTATGAAGGTTTATAATGATTGAACCCAAAGTTGGTATTGCTTATTTCTTCGGAATACAGTTTCGTAAGTAATATCTTGAGGTCCAAAAGTTGATACAGCCATTTTCATTGTTTGCTAAGAAGACAAGATTTGATAAGTATTCCGTTTGCATTACTTTTTATTTAATTTTTAACCCGAAACGATAATAAAATAATTATTGAAAATGAAAATCTCAGTAAGTTGTAGGTCAATGGCATGTATTCTGTTCATTATTTGACAATCAGCTGTTTCTCAGCTCCTCGAAGTGACACAGCAACTGGAGCGTGACCAGTGGCGAAGAAAAGTATTACGTCATACCCCGACAATAGGCTCTTTTACAAATAAAGATCGATATGATAAATGTTATCAAGTTAAATGGATTTTGTTTATTTCGTTTTTTTTTTACTTTTTATACAGTAAGTAACTATCCAAATCGGCTTTTCGAAAGTTATTTTAGCATTTAAAAAAATGTGCGTAGGTAAAACTACGACCAACACTGTTTGATCCTTAGTTAATGTTATAAGAGGATTCGTTTATTTCCCTTTACTAAAGTGTAAGTCAATTTTGATTGTTCAACACTTTATCGGTAAATAATAAAATGATAGATGATTTCATCAGATATTTAGCTACAGATCTTTTTCAAGATCTTTCTCAATTCTGTTTCGTAAAACTACGAGGCGAGCAGTTTTTCCGCAGGTCCGGTCAATACGTGTAGCAACCGCCCGGCTGATTGCGAATTGATTAGCTATTGTCCAAAATGAGAACGTTTGAAAAAACTAATTATATTTTTTTTAATATCTGGTCACGGTTGTATAAATCTTGACCTGGTTATAGCAAACGAATTGCTAAAAATTATTTAAATTTATAAAATCGACGCCATTTTCTATAATATTATATGATATCCGAAAATAAATATAAAGGTTTAATGACGCTTCGGATTGAAAATCAGTATAATTTTTTATGTTCCTGATAACAGTTGTAAAAATTATTTGTGTATTATCACATAATAGTATGATCTAGTTTCAGAGGAAATAGATGAATTACTTCCTTATGAAAATTACGTAAATATTTGACTTTCAAGAAAACTTTATTTTTCACTTTGTTACGGCGCAGCGTCGCGTTTTACGCAATCATGCAGACTTATCTACGCAATATTGATAGCTAGTTTGGGGAGATTTTTTGGCTCCACTCTTTCTACTTGAAGTTTGTGGGTTTTCAGTAAATTGCATCATTTGACCGAATTCTCTGAATTAAAAAAAACAAGTTGACAAAAAAATTAACACGCTAATTACTCACACGCACAGAATATTATTCTAAACAGTTCTCAAATTCAAAGGATTTATCCTGGTGGAGAAAATAAAAGGGAAAAAGACTCTATACGTATGAAAAAACACTTCGAAAAGGAGTAAAAGTTACCTGGTGCATGGCTTGCTGCGCTGCCTGTGCGGCAGCCTGCGCGGCACGCTTAGCTTGCTGCAATTGCATCTCCTCTCCCTGCAACCCAACCTTCGCATCCCGCACTTGCTGCTCCAGCCCCGACAGGATCACCTGCTTTCCAGCCAGCGCCGCTTGCGCTGTCGCACTGGCTTGAGCCGCTGACTGCGCTAACGTGTTCTTGGCTACGTAAGCCGCTTGATACGCTGCCGCCACTTGGTTACCGAGTGCTGTTTTCGCTTGATTAGCGGAGCCAACCGCTATAGTTCTAAGACCACTACCACTGCTGTAACCTTTCTTTGCTGAGCCCCCGGTGGCTGCGGCTTGAACGTCAGAGATGTATGCGTCGTAGTGGCTTGCGGCTTCTGCTGGGTCCTCCCCTTTAGCGGGTTGTGCTGAGTTGTCATAGTCGTAGTTATATTCTGATGGCTGTGCGGACGAGTCTCTGTTTGCTGGTGCTGATGATGCGATGGAGAGAGTACCTGAATAAAGAATTCATTTGAAGAGTATGAGTAATGTGCTATCCGAATTTTATGTTGTGCACATAAATTTAGTGAACAGTTTAACACTTGAACCAGAAACAGATATTGTTTTGGAAAACTTTTTATTTTTATATGTAGATGAGAGAAGCTTTTTTTAAACCTTATAAGTTACTAACAACTAATTATCTAAGTATTTTTTTGATACTTTGTTCGATTTCAAGTTACGTCTGCATTAACTGTTGTAAAACGATTACGTTTAACTTAATATAAATCGTTTCATTAAGCACTGCGCCAATCACGCGAATATGTTCGATCAAACAAAAAATTATTACGCGTTGTAATTACTTCCGTTTGTAATGTAACTTTTATATATGTGTTAGTTCCGAATTACATACTTGTATGACTTACTTGTCTACTATTATAAATTGCAAGTTAATAACACAGTTAAGTTGTTTTATAAAAAGTGTTATGCGATATGCACTACTAAGATTTCAAATATTGACTGTAAGTTGTAAGAATTGTATATGGTTTAAAAAGTTCGTTCCGATTTTATTCGTCTTTGTGGCTCTCTTATCAAAGGCTATGTATTGGAGGTTCGGATGGGGGACATGCTTAAACCATTTTAGATAACTATTCTCTCTTCAAATTCTTTAATTTCGTCGACAACTTAAATTTAAGTTGCATGTTAAAAATCTTTCTCGTCACCTCAATTTTTTAAGCAATAAAATCGATTTAAATTAGCTATTCTATGATTATTTAAAATATGTCATTATTCGTTAAGCGTTATTTTAAATTAAATTATAATTGTACAAAGCTTAACCTTAAGTTTAATTACGAAAGTACTAAAAGATAATTTATTTCGATTTATTCGTCTTAATTAATAAAATCCTTTAGTACTCACCTAAACACAATAAAACTGCCTGAAAAGCCTTCATTTTGCTGCCAGTCCAACTGAAATCACGTTAATTATATTAAACACTTCATCCCAAAACAAGATTAATTTAATCGAAACACAAATCGATGACAAAAATATCGATATTTAAAACATGTCAAAATTGGCGGTAAAATTTAAAAAACAAAATCACTCTCTGGTCCTAACCTGCCAGTACGTTCACAAATTGTTTAATTATTTTTTATTTTAGGTTCGGGGTGTGGTGGCGCCCCTGTGCCCGCTCTCTGAAGCAATGTACCGCTGGATTGATCAGCTCTTGTATTTATAGCCGCTGTCCAAATCGCGGTGAACGCTGGCCAGCGATTGTGCACAACTTCACTACGAAACGGAAAACAATAGATTCTTCTGTTACGTCCAGTCACGAAATAGGATGGATTTAGTTACAATTTGTTATTTTGATATTTTTCCAATCGATTCTGAAGGTTTCGTCATCCTTTTAAAATAACGATTACCGCAAACTTCCGGTAGTTTGAATTGGTATAGGAAACAAACTTTATAGCAAAGGCAATCATATTAAAATACATGAGATACTTGTATCAAGAACTCTATGGAATATGCTGGAAATTTAAAAAATAACTCGGTTAGAGCAAAGTCAATCTAATCATAGGTAACAATTGAAGTTTTGGAAACCTTTATTAAAGTTTTATTCAGGATTAGGATAATCTGTAGTCTTCCTATCCATAAGTTATCCATCAATCTCCATACTTCAATTATTTTAAAACTCGGAACTCTACTGTCATATTATGTTCAAAAGTAAGAGGTTTTCAAATCGTTAGATTTAGTTGTCCAAAGTCGCCGTAATAAGCAATATGGCCAATTACAAAACTGCAACAATTAGCTAACACTTCCACAGTACAATACATTACCACAACATTCGAAATATTGACTGAAGGAATCGATCTCGTTTAAAATAACAGTTTCACATACAAAGATATAATCTGTGCATCTTTTACATACACATGTAATTTATGAACCTGGAATCTGACGTCAGAGATCATAACCTCACATTCGTTGGTTTATTTGTCGCTTACGTGTAGCGTATAACAGGAAAAGTCATTAGAGACTTTAAGTCAGGGCGAAGTGAAGCACTGCCCAGAGCGCTGATGTTTGTATTGCAGTTAGGGGCAGTTGATATCTCGCTTAGGACGTCGGTAATGCTAAATAGCCTTGAGAGAAATATTAGGGTAGTCTTAATATAGAGGTAAACTATATGATCTTCTAGGCTTGTTAGTAACTGGATTAAAAAGTTATTTATGTTTTCCCCACAACAAAAACGGTAACAACCATACAGCCGTAAAATCCTTTAATATTTTATGTTACTTAGTTCATAACATATGTGCGTGCAACACGCAATCCTATCTGTTTATTTATTGATACCAATTTGTAAATAATTTTATAACCTATTGAAGACTTCATTTTTAATGCAATTATGGTACATTTTATTCGATAGCATAGACTAAAACGTTTTAATACATTTTAGTTTTAATAACCTTACTTAAAATCTAATCGAAATAAATCAAAACGAAGTTTATTATAGCAATTTTATTTTATACGGCTGTCTAATCAATTAAATATTTTTTATGACTGGCAAATAAGGATTTTAAGGACCTCTTTTTTCATTTTTTCGAACATCTGTAACGAGAGACCATAGTTGCCTGTGCCTCGGATTAAATGTTATTTAAATAAAATATCCTCAGTTATAAATAAATCAAGTACTAAAAGTAGGTAAATAAATTAGTTATAACATTTTTTGCTTTAGAAAAAACCAAAGCTATGAAAATAGTAATAATTATTTATTTACTCTTGTTTGATTCAATCAACACTGTGACGATATTTAGGTTGTCTGTTTTTTTTTCAGTAGGGTCAAGGTCTCTGCGTATAAACACGCTGAACAAGCGAACTACATTTTAACTACACTAGGTATGACTTCCATACTCTACCTAGTTGACAAACAGTAATAATATCTTTGTTTATGACAAATGTTTGAAGTTAGAGAATTTGCGGGAGATACTATTATGTACTTGCTATCGCTAGCGACTCCGTCTGCAAGGAATTAAAAACATAGCCTATGTATTCTTACTATGTTCTACATCTGAGACTTTCATTGAGATTCTTTAAACCATCCATACATTCGTATTTATAATATTAGTAAAAAGTAAGGTTATGTTCTCACTAGACGTAACTACTACTCATTATTGTGATTTTTTTTTACAATGGTCGATAATTTTAACTTTAAAATCTTAATAAATTAAAGCTACTTGAATTTACCTAGATATCAATGACAATTGTGATCTAAGACCCGCTTTTAATTTAAACCGTGACGGATTATGAAAAGATGTAAAATGCTGTAAGCTGTAAACGACATTATCGGGGCTATAGAAAGGATTGAAAGGTCTGTTGTAAATTACAAAGAGAGAAATGAAATCAAGTCGATAGGCAACGAAGTTGCAACAAATTGCATTTATCTCGAATCTATACTGTATAGAAAATAAAATAAGTCAGACAGACAACCGAAACGTAGATATTTAAATTAAAAATTGTCAATATTTCAATGATTTAGGTCATAGTGTACCGAAATTGTTAACGGTTTTGCAATAATCTAAAATATTTTAAGGTTATGTTTTATAGTAAGTGAATTGTTCAGCAAATATAACCTAAATCTTTTGATCTTACAATAACAAGATTTAATTATTGATTGGCGATTTACGTTCCGATTTATGAAATAAGCGCCAATTTTAAATTAAAGTACGAAGGTAATTTGTGTCAATCCAAATTGTAAGTAAAACATTTTTTTTGTATTTAGGAATAGTTTGATTCTTAATGTTACACAAAATTAAATATGAATCAACTTTTCCAGATTAAAATAAACGATCACGTTATAAAAACGTGCAAAATGGAACCACGATTTATAGACTGTACCATTCACGCCATTCATATTCAATAATAGATAGCTTGTTATTGTTCGAATCAATATTTCGTTGTAAAATTATTATTTATACAGCAAAGACTTAATTCTGTTTTTAGACCTTAGGATCTAAAGTGTAAATTTAAATAAATTAATAAAGTTTATGTCATATCTCCGGTTAGATTTTTTTTTATATAATAAAAGGGGGGAAACGAGCGTCGTGAACACCAAGGTGGTCAACGACGCCCATGGACATCCGCAACACCAGACTTAATTTTTTTCAATATTCTTATTGCGAATATTATCTTCATTATCTTACTAATATTATAAATGCGAAAGTTTAAATGGATGGATGGATGGATCTTAGAGTTTGTAGCCTAAACGGCTGAAGGGGTCTCAATAAATTTTGGCATAGATGTAGAGGATAGTCTGGATGAACACATAGGCTACTTGCTTTGGTTTCTCTTAATTCCAAGCGGACGGAGTCGCGGGCGAAAGCTAGTTTAAGTGACAAGGATGTTTATCTACTTGTTTAGGCGATGGAAACCCGTAATCTCATTCAACATCCAACCGTTCAACAGTTACTCAAATTGCATAAAGTGCAATAAGACATTAAAAAACGATATTTTTCTGTCAACACCGCCAGTGGCCGGTTGGCAATAGCACGTGATGTTGCCAACTTTGCAACATTGTCACAAGATATACAATGACTGACACCCTGGAGATTAATGACACTCTAGTCGCTTAATACTTTAGGTTATAGGTTATAATGGAAGGCTTATAGGCTAACACGTGTCACCAGCTGATGACCTAGGCTTAGTTGAATTGGCCTTATTCAAAAGTTTTTGTCTATTTTACATTTTACGATTCTCTAGCCCCACTATTGAAAACCTTAATGCCCTACTAATATTGGGCAGGGATAGTTTTTTTTTATTCGAAATCACTTATTATTTTAGTTTAAAGGTTATTGATGAATTTTTATTATTTTTTAATTATTAAAAAGGTAATTTAAATCATCAATCTCTTTTTAATCTGTACTAAGTAAAAACGTAATAGAAAGGAATAAAAAACAATAAACCTAATCAGGAAATGAAAGTCTAGATTGACATAATCCTTCAGTTTAATGCAATATCTAGATTTAGATATTTAGATTTTCTTAAAAAAATTTAAGTATAGGTAAAAAAAACAAAACATGATTCAATACTTTTTTTAAAAACCATTCCGCACATAATCCTGTCCACATATGATTTTATAACAAAAAAAACTTCACTGGTCATACAAAACTCACTGTTAGGCCATTTAGGAACACAATTCATTTAAACCATTATGAAATATTAAAGTTTTTCATATAAAATGATGTAGAAATCACTATTTACACTGTTACACGGATTTAGGCTTCTTTTGATATAGATTTCACTTCTTCTAGATGCGCTATCTCTTCGTTTGAACTTAACTCAACTTGACTCACATTCTCTTCTGCAATAATATCCTCTTTTACGTCCGTAAGTTTTGCAACTTCTGTAGATATTTCATCCTCTAGTTTTTCATTAGAATTTAATACTGCCTCAACCTCATCTTTTTTTACTTCTTTAACTTCTGTATCATTTTTTATCTCTTTGACTTCAACTTCGTTAATAGCTAGTAATAAAGAATTCATTGTCTCATCTATCTTCTTAGCTCTTTGTTCATTAGCTTCGTTAGTTTTACTCTCGTCCGTAGCATCTTTGGGGGCGCTGGAGTCGCTTTCGGTTTCTTTCACATCGACTTTCTCTGCAGCCTGCTTTTTACTCTTTTTCGATTTTGATTTCTTTTGCTTTTCAGTTTTAACTTTTTCTGGAACTGGCTCGTTATTTGCTGTTGTTAGCACGTCCAGTTGTGTTTGTAAATGAGCTAAGCTCTGTCTTAATTGTTCACAATTTGCTGCCATCGCTTCCACCTGTACAAAAAACAAATTACTCTTAAAGAAATGAATAAAACTTTTAATAAATATGTGAGTATTTAGGGTATTTTAACTTAAATCTATGTAATATTAAAAAATCATTATTCCTTTCACATGTTTTTTACTTAACGAAAACCCATTTCTTTAATTTTTCATCATATCTGTAAGTCCCTGTTTGTTCAATTTTACTGGACTCTTACTAGAAGGGAGCTTAAGTGTGGGAGAATAACTTTGGCGACTATTTTATATCTTTTTAACGCCTTTTAAATATATATTTCTGTACTTGTAACAAGTTAAATATGTTTATTGCATTCACACATGAAATATTACAAAACAGTCGGATAAAAACGGTTAGACAATGTCAAGGCCCAAGCAGCAGACTTCTGTTACAATAGGCAACATGCACATGCCGCCAAATTGGATTTTTTTTAGTATAGAAACATATCTGTAAAGATTTTTTTAATGTTTAGTGGCGAAATTTAATCATTAAAAAGTGTATTTTTTAAAATTCCCTCTCTTAGTTCTAAAACGCAACGCTATTGGTCGAAGCAAGTGACTTATCTATTATGGCGTCGCATTGTCAATATACAGTTCATTTATGTATGTTAGTTTACATAGAAATTCACACATGAAGTATTTTACTGTAAACACGATATCAAAACTAAATTAAAATTAAAAAATAAATGAAGAAAATCATTAATTAACACTTTGTTGTCTTTGACTCCGAAGTGACATCTCAGCGAATGTGATGAATGAATTGAATGAAATGGGACGATTGACGTCACGTGTCTCTAGCTAACTAAGGTCGCGTTTTAGCCGCACGAAAATGATCGTGATTTTATGTAATTTTTTAGCTCAATGGTTGGATATTTATGTGTCAATATTTTTTCTGGTTATCTTATAACAAGAAACGTTTAAAAATTTCCTGTTGGATAGTATGGTATGAGTGGTGGGTGGGCGATGTTTACTGCATGTCGGTGTGGCATACCTTGTTGTTGTCAGCGGGGTGTGGGGGGTGTGTGTGGTGCGCGGCGGGGGCGGCGGCGGGGGCTGGGGGCGGCGAGGGCGCGGTGGCGGGCAGCGGCGGCCGCTCGATGTTGTGCTCCTTCAGCGTGCCGAGCAGCGCGGTGCGCTCCGCCTGCACCATACATAAATAGGTACAATCAGGGAACTTGGCGGTGTTACCTTATAAACTAGTCTTTTTCGGGACTGTACCCATATATAAAAGATTTACAGTAATACATAGTATCTTAAACAATCATAACTAAAACAACTAGACACTTGCATTTTATGTAGAAATGACATAGCTACTGCTTCTACTTCTGTCAGTAGTGTGCAGTGTGCGGTGTGCGGCGTGCGGTGTACCTGCAGGGTGCGGCAGAGGCCCTGCATGCGCTGCAGCTGGCGCGCGGCGGCGGCGGCGCGCTCCTCGCTGGCCTGGCGCTCGCCGCACATGTCCAGCAGCGCCGTCTGAGAGCTCTCCCACCGCTTCTTCCACGACAGAGACTCCTTCTCCAACTTCTGGATCTTCTTAGACATCTAGAACACGCAGAGTCCTCTGGGATTTAAATTTACCCTAAATTAGGGGCAATTTGCAATATGACTTCATACATATCTTAATTTTGTACAAACCTTATAAATTTTCTAACCAACTTCAAATGGGTTTTGAAGACAACCGATTTTCTTACGCTTTTCAATATTAGTGACCATCGAGTAGTATTTGAGTTCTTTTAATAAATCTAAGTCCTAATGATTTTCGTATTTTAAATTATTTAAACTTTCGTGAGACATTTTATAATTAATTATTTACGTATTTTGTTAATATTTTGATATAATAATTATTATTTAAATAACTAGCTAATACTTTTAGACCAAATCCTATCATAGTACTTTAACGGTTAATTTCTATCTACTCATACTAAACAGAATCTAAGTGCCTCCCTTAACAAATTTGGATACAGTATTTGTGTTGCATACTTTTATACAAGATCCTACCCTAAAGTTAATTACATACTTAACGGATCCTAAGTGCCCCCTTAATGATTTTGAATACAGTAATGCTTTGAAACTAGAACATTCGATTCTATTACCTTATCCATTTGCTCCTTGAATCCACCAAACAGCTGGTTACTCTTCACCAATGCGGTCTGGAACTCATCATACTTGTCGGTGTAGACAGCGAGCTGGCCTTTCAGTGCTGTCTCATTGGTCTGCATCTCCATCACCTTAGCTCGGTATTGTGCTAGAGTCATCTTCATCTGCTCAATTTCCGCTACTAACCTCTCCTTCTCCGCTTGATGTTCTAAAGATGCTTTCTGCATCTTTGCATCAGATAGTTCAGATTCTAACCCCATTTGTTTCGTCATTTTTACTATCTGAAATATTATTGTTACGATATAAGAACTCGTAAATTATAAAATACTTCTGGTTGAAAACTATATTGACAGCATAAATTAAAAAATTAGCAGCCTATATTAGGGTAGGCTCCGAGCCCCTCAGTGATGATAAGAAGCCTATATGTTCTCATTTAAATTTCATGAAGTTCTGTTAAGTTGTTTTATAAATACATAGTAACAAACGTGCATCCATTGTAACTTTCACATATATAATACTAAAATATTAAGTCAATATATCTATTATGCTAAATAATACCTCATCATCATCATCTCCCCTGCCTTATCCTACTTCCATAGGGATGGTGCACCGGGTTTAGTCCTCCAAAGCACTCTACTCTATCATCCGTCATCTCAGTCATCACTCCCTTCTTGATCATGCCACCTTTAACGCAACAAGTGCACCTCCACATTCATAACTAACATCCGTCTTGTTACATGCGATTCATCCCTTCTCATAACAAGCCCATACCACTCTAACCGTTTTAATTAAATTTCAATTTAAAAAAAAACATACAAATTTCGTGTTAGAACAAAATACCTGTTGTTCCCTTATCTGGTGTTGCTGCATCAGACTCTTGAACTTCTCTGTCATGCTGATGTTGTCATCTCGGAGCTTGGCACTCTTCTCATTGTTCTGCTGCAACAGGTTTGTGATCTCCGACAGTGTGTTCTGGAACTTAGCCTGTGTCTCCTTGCGTCTCTCTTCTTCTTCCCTTATCTTTAAGAGAGATTCCTCCTGTAATAATAATAGGACACATTAAACTATCTATACTTATATAACAAAGTGTAAACATACACTTCTTAGCTATGTAGAATTTCAACCACAGCATATTTTTGAATAACACTATTTCTAATAAAAATTCCTTAATTTACAACATACTATGCTACAAATATGCTAGATTTTATGCTATTTAACAATAATTACAAACCAATAGCAGCAAAGAAGCACGGTTGCCATGGTAATGGTAATTGTCGGCCAATGGCAAAGGCCTTCATTGAGATTTTGGCATTTGAATTTTAATGCTTCCTATTAAAAGTTTTTATAATATGAGGCAGATGAAGCCACATGGAAAAATCTAGTTTAACATAAATACCTTAATAGCTTTATTCTGTTTCTGTAGTTCTCGGCAAAGATTCTCAAGTTTAGATTTAACAAGAACAGTTTTGTTGTACTCATGCTGTAGTTGTTCCTTCTCTTTCACCAGCAAAGCATATCTTTTATCAGATTGTTTGATATAAAACTGCATTTTCTTATTATCATCAGCTGCCTGCGTATATTTCTTACAAACTAGAGAGAACTTTTCATCTAATGTTGGTACTGAGCTTAGGGTCTTCATGAACTGTTCAACATTTTTCTCATCTTTTTTTGACCTATCTTCCTTCTTTGACTTTTTTTGAGGTTCATGTGGAAGTGGGGTCGGCAATTTGTCCTAAAATATAATAAATACTACATATGAATGTGCAGTCTAAATTTTTGTTGCATTTTATTGTTATTTATACAATATTTTTCTGTGAGAAAAGTGGGCAAACGAGCGGCGGGAACACCGAGGTGATCAACGACACCCATGGACATCCGTACTGCCAGAGGAACTACAGATGCGCTGCCAGACTTTGTGGAATTTGAAATGTTTAAATTATTTCCAATAAGAATATTTGGTTGCACACAAATAAATGACACCTCTTGGTTTACCATAAAAGAAGAAAACGTTTGAATTGTACTATGTAACATAAATATCTTACACTCTTAAAATTGGCATACAGCCAATATTGATTCCAGTTAAATATTTTACATAGTTTTTAATTATTAAATGAGTAATAGTATGAAATTATGTTATTAAAAAGGATTATTTGATATATTGTAACCTTTGGTATTATGTGCATTTAATAACAAAAAGAAAGAATAAATTTTCGATTTGAACTCGACATACGATACAGGCTATTTATAAAACTCAGGTGAACCAATAACTTACACAGTCCCCTATATTATTTTCCGATACTGTATTGTCTTTTGGTGATTCCTCAGCTGCAACTTCCATTTTAAAATATTTAAATTTTCAGCGGATTTAGAAACAAAACGATATTTTAACAACCAACAAAAATTAAATCAACAACGAATAGAGGAATAGAGATGGAAAATTGACAGATGAGCGAACGAGTGAACGAAAAGGAATGAATATTGTGTTGCCATTTGGTAGTCGAACATACTTAATTTATGCCACTGGTTCTCTGAAATAAACAAAATCGATAATATTTGTGATTATCATATAAGTAAACAGATCATTTTATCATTTTTATTGATATATTGACTAAATTGTGGTAATTCTGTTTACGAAAATTTAATTGTAACCAATTTGCTGCAACTGTTTTCCGATTTCAAGACGAAAAATCTGGTCTGAACTAGTTTACAGCAGAAATAAAAGTGTTACTTACATGTGATGGTTTTTACCCAAAGGGTAGATTTATTGTAAAAAATTTATCGCCGCAACATGTATTCGATCAAAAACTAATACTCATACTGACTGTTGTAACGTAGGAAATTCGTAACATGTCTTGAAAGGTAATTTGTGATAATAACTGTTCTTACTTTTTCATTTTATATTTCAATTTCTATTTACTTCTTCAGTAGAGTAATGAGACATTTTTACCTAGCAGTTATTTTTTCGATTTTTCTATTTGTCGTTATATTTGAAATTCCTGATATTGTCATTTTCATTAATATCTCGTCTGTTTAATTGGTAAAGTATCGACTAAGACAGCGAAACAATTACAATTAGAACAGTTACTTCATAGTAGAAATGTCTAGATAGCTGTAAGTTGTTCTTACAAATAACATAATCAACCACAAAAATAAGTTTACTATGTAACTCTGTGTATTTCAGTAGTTTCTTAACATTTCTTTCTAGTAACATTTAAACTGCCATTCGACGATCTCTTTGTCTCTTTTACGCATTCATTCATTTTCATTCCAATTCCATTTTCTGTCGAAAAGAGGGCGATAATCTTGTGGTGAGTACTTTTTGTATAATTTTTTTGTAAATTCCACTAAAGGCTTCTTATTTGAACGAATTTTGTGCAACAAACTAATCTATAGTGAAATACTACTGTGTGAAACTAATCTCGTCTGTAATGAATAAAAAGATAATTGCCGGCCGGGACCGTACGTTGTGAGCCGTTACTTTTCAAGATTCTCAGGTCATTGCGCTCTGGAATCCTTCAACTTTTGAAATTTATAGGCATTTAGAACAACTGCATATTCCAATGTAGGCTGTTTATTTGTAATTTTTTCCTAAATTAAACAAAGATCATTCGTAATGTTGCCGCATGATTGACTCGTCTGACGCAGGATCCACATTTACAGTTATAATAAACCGCAAGTAATATCAATTTTGGCATTGTTTCCTTAAATTCGTGTATTTTAACGCTAAGGATAGGAAAAAGAGAACTCGAAACATTGTTTGGTGTATTTTTCGACAGTGTTTCTATAAATAAAACTGTTAGGCTGTAGTTACATTTGGCGTAATTTTTGAAATAAGAATTCAATCAAGTGGAATAAAAAAACGAGAATGTATGTATTTACTTCAATCTATGACTTACGATTTATTTGTCAGTGAATTTGTGAGAAATCCATAAATTATTTTGGTAAGTGTGTGAAGTGTTTTTAAAACCATCAATTACTTCCTTGTTTATATTTCTCACACAGTTTATTTTTACGTTGTTTACAATCCAGATTTGAATGTTGAATGAGTATGTTGGCAGTTTTAAATAATTCCTTTCTCGAGTAAAATATATTACTATATTTTATATGTATATTTTAACATTGGTAGAATTTGTCTGCATTACAGTATGTCATGTGTAGAGTTTTTGTTTATGGTTTCAAAAGATTTTAGTAAGTGAAAGATGTCCTAATAATGTTTGTTATTCATTAATTAATAAAATCTACTCCCAATATATACAGTTAGGTTGTTTGTGTACCAAAGTAAACATGTACCTAATTATCTTTAATTTATTTACCCATAAAACATGTTTCAAAATATGCGAAAGCAATAAAACCCACACAGTGTACCAAATTTGCAAAACGTAATTGCATATTCATTGTTCTGGGTTAAGCCAGAGTACCGCTACCTTGTTTGAATAATTACAAGTATATAAATAATTGCGCCTTTCTATAAAGTTATTGGTACAATATTCTTACTTCTTTACTAATATTATAAAGCAGAATGATTTGTATTTTTGTATTTCTGTATCTATTGAAATAACTCAAAAACTACTCTGATAGTTTCAAAAATTAAATTATCACTGAGAAGGCAATGTTTTTCCTTTTTTTTAATTCAACACAGACAAATTCGGGAGCAGCAGCCAGTACATTATAAAAGCAAAAGTTTAGATGGATGGATGTTAGTTTGTAGCCTAAACAATTGAACAGATCTTGACAAAATTTGGCATAGACATAGAGTATAGTCTGGAAGAATATTTAGGCTGCTTAATTTTGTATTTAAATACTGTGCAGACAGTCACAGACAGTTACCGGTGATAGCTAGTCATACTAATATTATAAATGCGAAAGTTTAGATGGATGGATGTTTGTTAGAATTTGTAGCCTAAACCGCTGATTGAATTTCAATGAAATTTTGTATGGATGTAGAGGATAGTCTAGAAGAACACATAGCCTATTCACTTTTTGTTAATTTCATGTGAACAGTCTTGAGCTAATGCCAGTCTTGTATCAAGTTTTTTAGTCCTATTTTTGGTTAAATATTTTTGCTTCTGGTTTATTTTTACTCTGTATTAAATAGTTCATGATACTTGTGTCTATTCCTCTTAACTTATACCACACATGTGGCTGTTTTCAATCGGGTACTTGAATTTTGAAGTATTGTAGGCCTGTGTGTTCTAAAAGAGGAAACTTTATATGTTAGTTTCCTTTATACATTTATATAAATAGCTATGTAGTTTCCATTTATTTACCTTATGTTTAAAAAGTGCTTTGGCTCACTAACTAACCTTGTATATGTAAAACCTCTAAAGTATCTATTTTTAATATAGATTTCAATATTTTTAGTATTAAAGGTGGTTAGTTGATGCTTCAAGGCTACTATTTAACTAGACTAAAGATAATTTTGCAAATATTATTTTTCATACAGATCAAAGATTTACTTTACCAATGTAAAGCTTTGTCATATTGTTAATTAACCCAAGCAAAGTCAGGGTGTTATACTAGTTTACAGTAAACTACTGATTCATCTAAACGTAAATAAATCCTGTTATTGTGTGACTAACACAATTTGTATTATTGTAGTTTTTTTCTCATTATGTAGAGGTCATTGGCCGTTTATATAAACGTTGCGATTTACAGTTAATGGTTTTGAGTTAATTGTAAGGTTATGTTTTTATTCACTCATACCACAGAAATAACCGTTGGCAGTTTGAAATATGTCCCATGGAAACTTTTAGTTAATCCCGTCAAAGGTCTTTGCTATCTTACTAATATCATAAATGGATGTTTGTTAGAGTTTGTAGCCTAAACGGCTGAAAGGATTTCGATGAAATTTAACATAGATTTGGAGGATAGTCTGGAAGAACATATAGGCACTTGCTTTTGTTTTTGTAATTCCGCGCACACGGAGTCGCGGGCGAAAGCTAGTATTCTATAATCTCTGGTTAACTGTTTTGAGTTATGTTTTAAAGATCGATTCACACAAACTTTGCAATTATAAAATTGGTAAGAAGGTCGTTGGGGTTATCTAACGGTCAGATATAGGAGTTTCTACCAAATTCATTTATTTGATTTGGCGAAACATTTGGCGAACGGCCTGTGTGACTCGTTATATAGGTATGTAGGAACGCTTGTAAACTTATACGGCTGGCGAAACGAGAAAGGATCTCGATTTACAGCCTACGCACTAAACTTACGTAAGTTACGGTAGATAGCGGTTCTGTTACTTTGTAACTTAAATCTCAATCCTCACAATATATTAATCTAATTGAAAAAAACAAAGTATTCCTCACTCAGTTTGTTTCCATTCGAATTTATGTAATTACGAACGTGTGTGACGCATTTTATATCCTATATTGACGGAATCGATTGATTAAGCCCCTGTCTTGGAGGAGTGTCTGATTGCATTTTTAATTAAATGGCTTCGTTAACGAAGGGCATAATACCGTTAAGAAGTCAATGATCTTTTTAGCAAAAACGAAAACTATTAGACGGAAAAATTCCTAATGTAAAAATTACGATTTCTAATCTTATTAATGTTATATATGCGAAAGTTTAGATGGATGGAATATTAGAGTTTGTAGTCTAAGCGCCTGAACGGATCTAGATGAAATTTGGCATAGATTTAGAGGATAGTGGAAGAACACTTAGTTTTTTTAATCCCACGCGGACGAGAGCTAGTCTCAAATGAAGCTAAAAATGAAGATGCGTAGTTTTACTTTTAAAGAATTAACTGAATATGGCAGTTTATTTCCGGCCAGTATCGTCATTTGCCGTACAAAGCGCTGCTCATGACCACTTGGCTGATAGTACGTCGTTGCCTTGTTAATGTAACTGGCCATATACAGTTGTAGTGTCTGTTTCCGCTTTGTAGTCTAGATTCTAACGTATGCCCTACACTTGGTACCCTTTGTTGGATTTCCGGACCTTCATTGATAAGGTCGATGTGACTGTAAATTGTTTGTAGATAGCTGGAGTTTTCATTTGTTTTGTGACTTTTGGTGTAACTTTTAGGGATGGCAATGATTTTGTTAACAAAAGATGTGTCCCACGCTTTAGACAGGATGCGATTCTCATAATTTCTCTTATCGACCATTCTAGAGAACTGTTATTGTTTTGTTTTATCAGTAAGACTTTTCTGCAAGTGTAAGAGCCTGCGCTCAGCTAAAATTATACTATCGCACAACTGTTTAGTCGCGCATTGATTCCTATGATATTATATGTAGCGCATACTACTCGATTTTTAGTTGTGCAACTAAACAGTTGTTTTGGCTGCGAAGACAATCATTGTACGATAGCTTAGTCAAAGGTACTATATATTTTTAGTTCATCTCCATTTACTAGATCGTTAAAAGTAATATAATATTTTAATTATCCAAATTGGTGCTAATGAACTAGCAATATATTACAGAAGGCAATAAAAAAATGCAATTTGCAAAATGTCTATTCCACTGAGTGGTGGCATAACAAAGAACTAATCAACGTAGAAGTCTAGACGGGATTGTTTTGCGGTTCGGTACCGGAAACTCGTTATTCTTTGAGTCACGGCCCACGGCCACCTCACCGCCTCGACATTAGTCAGTTAAACCTTTATTATATGCAGATAACGTTATCAATCGCGATTTAGTCTTGCTCTGATTATCGTTTAGTGATTCAATATTCATAATAAGATTATTCATGAAGCTAGCAAACTACATTAGCGTTACAAATGCGAATGTATGGATGGATGTTTCTTAACATGTATCTGATAGGCTAGTTTTATTTAATTCCGTGCAGACGAAGTCGCTAGCAAAAACTGGTATGTAAAGAATTTTCTAATACAATTGTATTGTTTTAATTGTAAAATCTAGACTAGATCACATTATAGACTAGATAGTATTAATTTTATCAGAACTTAACAGTAAAATAATGTCTTGAGGAAACAAAGCTATTTGTCTTAGTGTTTTCAGTTTCTTGGTAATTTTCAGTGTTGCCCCTTTTTGGAACAATTCCAGCCGTGAAATTACTCTCACCAACCTCCGAATTCGCTACTGTTTTCTTCTAAGAACTTATGTTAAATTAATTCGGTTTTTCTTTCAATTTTACCTCGAAGTTGCGTAAATTTAATAGTCTGTAGCTTTTAGAATTGCTTTTATTATTGTTTACTTATTTTAAAAATGATAGCAAATAAATTTGTTTTGTTGTGAGTGACATTTGCAATACCGCATACAAGTTACCTGTTTCCACCCCTTGTGCAATCAACCCTTACAAAATAATAGCAAGGACATGTTGCGGTTTTTCCGACAACCTCCAGTTTGTGGTCGTCAACCCTTCATTAATGATAGGCCTTTGTCCTGGGGGAAATATTAACTACTAGCTGTTCCCGTGCGACTTCATCCGCATGAGATTGCGAAAATTTTATTTTATTGTTCACATGTGTCAAATTATCAATTACAAATGTCAAAATGACATGACATGATGACAACCTTGCTTCCTTGATTTTGACTGCAACTTATGTTCTCTTTCCCACATTTGGCTATCCAAAATTTACCACCCAAGGTTAATGGCGTGAAAATATATAGCCTAAAGCGTGACGTAAGTGTAAGGCTTTTTATTAAAAAAAAAGTTATTCGAAAATATGCTGTAATTGCTGACATCTTAGGCAACAAAGAAGTGCGTGTTTACGCTTTGGTGTAATAGTATAGACTGGAAAATCTGTTTTGGAAATCATTAATAGTTAGTTCCCTTACAATTATCTATTTTATGTTAAATTATTCAGTTTGGCGCGAAATTAACCACTTTATATATTTGTGCAATAGTAACTTTCGCCCCCGATTTCATTAGCGCAGAATTTATAAACTTGTTAGGTAGCCTATATGTTCTTCCAGACTTGTTTGTTTCGCCGTTTTAGAGATACGTAGTAGCAAATATCCATACATTTGTTCATTAAAACATTCGCATTTATAATATTAATATGATTCTGATAAATAATTCTTGGTCAACTTAATAATTTAAGAGTTTTTTACTCTCTAAAGTATCTTAGTTCCTTCAGCAAATGCTTGTTTTACTGTCATTTTTTACCTCGTAAATAACGACAACCTGGAATTTAGGTTCAACCTTGTTGGCACAATCCCAATATTAATAGCGTAAGCCAAGTTACAGCAAAGTTAATGTATTTTTCCATTAAAACTGCCGCAAGATGCCACATTATTTCCGGTCACGGCTACTCTTCCATTTAAAACCAATGTTATTTTTGTAATTAAAACTGTGAGAACCAGTTCACGGGAACTATCAGTACGACAGTTATAAAGCCGTGAAAAAGCGGTTTTTGTTTAAAATGTTGGTACTTGTGTACTTTAAAATAGTATAGACACAATCAAAGGTTACTTAACCCTAACTGGATTGTATATGTATTCGATCTCTACTTATATGACTAGCTGTTGCTCTCGACTTCGCCCGCGTGAATTTAAAAAATAATAATAAACAGCGTATGTTACTCATAAATAAATTAATTTTTAATATAAAAGAAATTCGTCTATTGTTAGCCTTATAGTCTAATCAAGACTCCTGAGGGCTTATCTTTTTTGGGAATCTATTCTTAATTTAGTCGACAAAATTTGTAACAGATATGCAGCCCCTACCAGGAAAGTACACTATAAAAAAAACTGTAACGCGAATATTTGTGATAGACCCAACAATTCCTTCTTAGTAACATGAAACAATATTTTATACTTTTCCTTGTATTTCTTATTAACAACCGTCTGTTATATAAATCTATACATGAGTTAGTCCCCATATTGATATGATAAAGCATGTCTATTGTTATTATAATTTTGGTATCAAACAATCGTTATGGCGTCAAAGGCAATGTTGGACATTATTATTGTCTCGATAGATTTGTTATTCAACTTTGACGCATCCTGCTATATGTATCACTAGCTGTTGCTTGCGACTGCATCCGTGTGAGATAAAACAATAAATAAAAATGTAACCTATGTTACTCACTAATAACGTAGCTTTTCAATGGTGAATGAATTTTTGAAATCGGCCCACTAGTTTTTGAGATATTCCAATACAAAAATACAAATCTTTCCTCTTCATAATATTACACAGTACAGTAAAGTGATAGATTACTAATAAATTTTCAGGATACATATCTACGTAGAAATCCATATGTTAGATTAAATAAGCCATACAAAATTATTTCCCCCTCCACATATGGGTGGTCACCCTATGGAAACGGTCAATGCTCTTGTCAGTGAAATCGATGTTTTTATGTCACATTGTCCGCTTAGGTTTTATTTCATAGGTGTGCTATCGTTGCGTTTTACAGATATTCAAAACTAGAAAACGCTTTGTCTATATCTGTACTAATATAACGAGTAATGATTTGTATTTTTGTATGTATTGAAATATCTGAAAAACTACTCGAACGAATTCAAAATTGTTGCACCGTTAAAAAGCTGTGTTATCACTGAGTAACATAGGCTATATTTTTACTATATTTTTATATTCACGCGGGCGAAGTCGCTAACCAACAGTCATAGATAAATTTAGTTCTTCGATAGTAAAAGTGTCTATTGAATTAATCTCTGAGCTTCACCATTTCAACCATGAAACTAACAAAGGATATAAAAGAAATACTTGCGTATGTAATGTTTATATTAAGTGTTATAGATATATCAAGTTAAATGTCTTGTCCCCGACAGATTGTAATTCTATGCAGATGTTATGACGTCTTTATGTCGCGACGCTGTTTATATAATAAATGTCGATATCTCTAATAGATGTAGTAGCCACATACCTTGAGCTTCACTTTTTATTGAAGTAGTCAATTGCATATAAACATTTTTTTTTTATAACATAAGGTGGCAAACGAGCAAGCGGCCACCTGAAAACGCCAAAATGGCGAAGCGAGCGCTGCCCATAGACATC